GGCCGTTAGGGGGCGCCATTTTGCCGCGCCGCGCCGCCCTGGCGGGGGCTGTGGGGGCAGCGGGATTTGCCCGTGTCTCTGCCCGGCGGAGCGGGGCGAAGCGACGGTTCGCACGCAGGTGTGACTGCGGCCGAGCCGGTCCGTGTGTGAGGGGCAGCAGGCTGCCCTCGGTGTGYGCCCCCGCTGTTCCCGAGTGCTCGCTCCTGCAGCTCTCCTTGGTCAGCTCCGCTGCTTGTTATGCTCCTTCATGAGCTGACCCAACCCACTCCAGCGGTATAAAAACGAGACTATAAAACAGTGACTTAGAAGGCTTGAACCATCTTGCCAGAGGATGRTGCTGGCTTTGAGGGATGACTGTATGGTGGAGGGAAGCCAGGCTGCCCTTGTAGTCTGGGTGGGTTGTTGCTTTTTCCGGCTAAATCAACCTAGTTGCCCTCTGGAGTTTGGCACCCGAGGCTAGGTTTGTTCAGCTTGTGAGCCAGCATGGCCATGCTGGTCCGTTAGAATGAAAAATGGAAAAATGAAGTTCCCAGTAAGGAGTTATTGCTTCTGTACTGTTCTGTATAGCTCTAAGGAGCAGGCTGCTTCTGTGGTTTTCCTTCTGCTTCACCTGTGAAAAGTGGATGATGAAGCTGACTTTATTTACAGAGTTGAGATCACTGATAAAATGCCTTACTTGAGGTGCCTGCTCTCCTGTTATTACAGTTGTCTTGTGCTATGGCCCTGTGTTTTATTCTAAACCTCCCTTTCAGACTCTAGTGATGATAAAGAAAATGGTGCCTACAGCAGGACCGGCACAATAAGGTCTGCCCATGTCTGGACATGTAACAGCCAATGCCTGTTATGTTTGTGAGCACGTTGGCTGGCAGGTTAAAATTGTCTGGCTATGTGATGGTTCAGAATGGAGAGAGGAAAAAAAAGCAGGGACTGGGCCAGAAGATTATCTGTTCTTAGATAACGTAGCAAGCTGTGCTGGTCTTCCTTTTTTTTTTTTTTTTTTTTTTTTTTTTTTCTTGGGACATATTCTATATAAGCATGTTATAAGGCAGGGTATGAATGTAAACTACTGCAGCTCTTCCTGTGTATATATTAGAGAAAGAATACCTAGCATAGTTTATATCTTAAGGCAGTTATAAAGAATATGTTTTATTTAGAGTACCAGCCTTTTGTGTTCAAAAGCAGAGAAAGACTATCTATATGGAAACATTTTCACAGTGTAAAACACTTACGTAGTGTAGAAGTACTTTGAAAAATTCTTTCCCTTGTCTTTCCTTGACACATCTCCATCTTAAAATCTCCAAAGTAAACATCTATATTGATCCTTACAGCAAGGGAACTGGGTATTCTACAGCTGGAACTATATTTCTTGCCGTCTGGATGACAGTTAATTATTTTCCAGGTGTCCTCCTTAGGATATCTGTAGAAGCTGGGTTTGGAACTTATATCTATGTATGTTAGCACTAATTTGGTTGCTGTTTGTTTTGCATACAGTGGATGAGTAAGCTGCTATAGACTTCTGTGGGTTTGCACACTTTTCCTTTTTTTCTGGATTTACTCATTACTTCAGTTACTTCGTTCTTCAGCTTAATTGTCCTTACTTTTTCTGCTTTCAGTCACATACATACATAATCTATGACTTTTATTGCATTTGAGGAAAACTGAAAGAGCAGTAGTTCCGATTTTAATGGCCCGAAACCTTTGCTCTGCTTCTGCTTTCTTCTCATTTTTAATGTTTAACAAAACAGAGCTTGCAGTTGCAAGGCGGACAAGTTTGCAAAAATGCAGACATGTCTTATGTCTTTGGATTGCAGCTTTCATTACTGAATTGAGACTTGCAACAGTACTTGCAAAGAAAAGGAATACCAACAAAAGAAAGTCAAGCTCATAGGGTTTGCTCATTTGTGGGCAATATTTTCATTTAAATTAAACACTGATCTTTCAGGTGTGAATGTTTCACTACTAAATGTAAAATTCTACACAAACTCTAGGGTAGAGTCATGGGTGAAATTTGCTTGTAAGCCTGTGTCACTTCTAACCTTGAATGAGACCTTGTCTTCTGGGAAAGAAGCCTCAAGACTGCCTTGCTCAGAATGCATGAAGCACCTTAGATGCATTTTAAAATTATAGCTTGATTTGCTATAATTTAATACATAGTTTACAGTCAATGTAATTATTTAATGCACTGTTCAACCAATAAATGTGTTCCATAGTATCCTTTACCTTAGTGAGTGCAACTACCTCTGCGGTTAAATAGTATCTTGTTCTGCTGATGGATAGTATAAACTGATACATTGCTGAAGAGCCTGAAGGTAGCTTAACTTGGGCTTTAGTGGGGAGTTTTGGCAGGCTTATCTTTTCAGGGTATAATTCTTGACCTTTCACTGTCTTGAGTCAGCTCACAGCAAGAGAGAAACTGATACCTGTCTAAAGAAGGATGATTTACACAATAATTTTAAGGCAATTTCCATTTTTAAGTCATCCTGTTGTAGAGGTGGCCTTCCTCTCTGATGGCTGTACTTGCCATTTCTGTGTATGTTACACTTCAGTATTGCTCCTTGTCAGTAAACTAAGGTTTTCATGTAGTGATTGCTACATTAATGACTTCAATTTTTTGTGTTAATTGGCTAAAAGCTGTCTGCTCTTTGCCAAGCTGTGTTTCTAGCTTGCTTGGTAAAATAAAGTGCTCGGCAATTTTCAAGGAGGGCTGACTTGCCTAAGTGAAATGTCAGCAACAAGARCAACAGCAAAATGATTGYGGTAAAAAGTTCGAGTATTTTTTCAAGTTAAACCTTTAAATTTAAGTCACTTCGCTCTAGATAGCACCTGCTTTCTTGGGCCCTGGTTCTCTGAAATATTTTAGCAGCTCTTGGTTTTCCACTAAAAGCTGTGACCTTTGAGGGAGCAGCCCTAGCTAAAGAAAGGAATAATGCCTATTTAAATACAGCACATGTAAATATACCACGTAGACTTGCGAGAAGGGTGGTAAGTAATGGCCTCCAGAAAGTAAAACTCTGCATTTCAGTTTTTAACAGAGCCAGTAAATGTAATAAAAATGTTTTGGACCATATTCCAAGGCAATATTACAAGTTTTAAAATGCCTGTTCTCTGGCAAGAACTTGGCAGTTGACAGTGATAGTGGCTTTCATTTTTGACACAAAAGTAATTTCTTAGAGCAAACCACATTAAACTTCATCAATACCAAGTGCCTTCTTAAATATACCTTGAAATTCTGTTTATTTATAAGATTAAATGACTGTTTCTCATTTTGCAGTCGCATCATAAATTTTTCAGGTGTTGATTGTAGATTAGTATAACGTCCTTGCAACCACTGAATTTACAGTATGTGCTTGCTGAGACATTGTCCTTTGGGCAGCCTGTTCAGAAGTCTCCTGTGTAGCCTGACTTTCTTTCCCTGTTCCCTCTTGCTTTGCTTTCTGTGTAGAAGGGTAATTTTTGAAATGTAGCTCAATGCTTTGTAAGCTCACTACTGGGAGATTTTAGAAATCGAGAAAATCAACCTACTGAGTTTGCTTTGTTTTTTTCTCTCCTTCCAAAAATCTGAGGAAATGTGTTTTCTGCTTTTGCATAGGTTTTATTTATTTATTTATTTATTTTATTTTTATTTATTTTTTTTTAGACTCAACAATTATTTTCTTCTGAAGGCAGGAAAATTATTTCATAATAAGACACTTTCTGTCCTGCACAAATGCTTTAAATCACTTAAGCAGATTGATCAAAAATATATTTGTCCAATAACTTATGAAAGCAATTAAAATTYAGAATCTAAGACTATTGCTGAAATTCAAAAGCTGCAGTTAGAAATGTAATGGAGCGGGCAGGCTTTGTTCTGAATTTAATTCTGGATTAGTGCAGTAATATCAATTCAGTTTAATGTCTGTGGTTAAGTACTTGCTTGCCACAGTGTACTGGGAGCCATGAGACTTGAGCTCCAGCCTAGGCTTCACTACCCAGTTACAGCGTGAGGTGATGTTCCTTGTCCCCCATGGGCTTTGTACAGATRATGAATGGCTGGTGCTGTGATTCTCGTGGGGGAACATGTGAAGTTGCATTCATTAATTTCTGGCATAACTTCTGTAAAATATTGTGTAGAATTGATAGAAATTCAAACCAATATTTACTCTTGGCAGTGAAAATATTTTCATGTTTACAAAGGTTATATTTAATTTTGGGTTGACAGAATGACCGAAATGGAGACTGAAGTTACAGGAGRCAAAGCTATGGAAGAGGAAAACACTAAACAGAAGAAAGAAAAAGAGAAAAAGAAGAGGTCGAGAGTTAAACAGGTGCTGGCAGATATAGCAAAACAAGTGGATTTCTGGTTTGGAGATGTTAATCTCCACAAAGACAGATTTCTCCGAGAACAAATTGAAAAGTCTAGAGATGGATGTAAGTTGTTTTTCAATATATTTCTGCATGCTGAACTTTCATTTTTTTCTTTTGAGTACTGCTCATGACAATTCAAATTATTTTTAGAAATATATGTGTTTCTGGGGAAGATGATAATTGTAAACTGGGATGGGAAATAGGAGGTCAGGAGTCAGAATGTTTTACGAGGTTTGAGAAGTTGTGTTCATCTTCGTTCATTTCCTTTTCTACAATGTAAAGAAGTGGTTTGTTTGGGGGGGGGTGAATGAGGGAAGCAAGAAGAATATGTGCAAAATTTAAAATGTCACTTGGACTTGAGTGTGTGTGTGGGGAGGTTTGTTTGTTTGTTTTTCCTTCCTCTCAAGAGTTGTAGTGCAGTAGCACAGGGCGAGTATTGGTCTCTTTCCTACAGACTTTTTTGCATGGTTAATTTGACCTCAGAGTAGGAAAATGAGCTTTGTTCTGAAACGGTAAATGTTTTTACTTTAAAAAGTAGTAAATGTTTGGTAAGTAGTGTCTCTTGAACTGTGTTAAACTGGATGGACTTAGGCCTCTCGAACGCCCGTCAAGTAGGGTGGTTATTTTCCATCAAATCTAATAAGATTGCAGGTTTCAGAAGTGCTTACTTGTTGCTTTTAAGTCCACAATTATTTAAAATGTTAAGGGAAGGGAAAAAAACAGGTCCTTAGGACTAATRTTGCATAAGTCTCTCCATCAAGGCTTTAGCAGCATGACTCATCTCATCTGGAGAGTAAGCAGAAGCTCTTTTGTGTTCAGAGTGTTGGGTTAAACACTTAATTGAGTGCTTGAAGGAGAGGCATGTTTTCAATGCAAATTTTTTTTGTATTGTAAAACTACATAAGAAAGGACTTTTCTTCCCTTTCAAAGACAATAGTTATCAGTGGGGYGGTAAAAGAATGGAAGAAAAATTCTTTGATAAAGGATGGCACAAAAGGAAATCAAAAATAACCTTACTCAACTTTTACTACSTTGGCGAAAAAGAAAAAAGCTTTTCTATAGAACAACTATAGTTACAGACTATAGTTAAGCTAACAGACTATAGTTAAGACTTGCACATTAGTGTAGGACTCATCTAGTATTTTCCTAAAATAATGATTCCCAGATTGTAATGATTTCCTCATTTGTCTTTTTTATCCATAGATGTTGACATTTCACTTCTTGTTTCTTTCAACAAAATGAAGAAATTGACTACTGATGGAAAGTTGATAGCAAGAGCAGTTAAAAGTTCCTCTGTTGTAGAAGTGAGTATTTAATATTTCACACCTTCGAGTTGGCTGAAATAGACAATAATCCTATAGAAAATATCTATTGTTTCTTGTTACTTTTAGTTGGATTTAGAGGGAACTAGAATCAGAAGACGTCAACCACTGGGTGAGCAGCCAAAGGATGTGGACAGTCGTACAGTCTATGTGGTAAGGTTGCCTCTGTTATGTATGTCTGTAATCTGGTGGGTGTTTTATCTTTGCCATTACTAAGATCTATGGAAACTGATTTAAACTTWCTATAAATGCTTTTAGTTTGCAAAACCTGGGCATTGTCTTTTGGTCTCTAAAGATCTAATCACACRATGTTATTTATTATTACTAAAAATAGAACATTAACATAAGCCGGACATAGTTTTATCAAAATTAGAAGGTAGCTTTTCTTTAACAACATTGTATTAGTCCAAGAAATGCTTGCATAAGCTGCAGATGGTAATAGAACTTCTGTTTGTTACAAAAGAAAATTTCTTACAAAAGAAAATATAAGTGTATTAAACTTGTGATTCTTAGAACCTTAATTGAAGGTTAATGTACATATTTAACAGAGAAAATATAAAATATTGGAAAAGTATGCATCAGACCACAAAGGACTGTGTGGGTGGCAGGCTACCAGTGCTTGTGCAGCCTGAAGGGAAGGCAGGGTGAACCTTGTGAGAATGGCCAGGGAAGGAAAGGATTTTCTTTGGTATGCTGTGTGTTTCTYGTACCAGCCTGAATAACTGTAAAAGCTGAGCAAAGAACGATGGCACACGATTCGTAGTGTGAAAAACAGTGCATTTATTTATGTATCTAGTGTGCTCACTGAGCTTTTCTGGCTGATGTTGCTAAAGAAGTAAAACTGGTACGTAGAAATACTTACAAATTACTATAATGTAGGCAAAGCTTTGGAGTAATAACATGATTGKTTTTATCATTATTATAGTTTTAGCACTTTTAAACTTGCAGAGTTTGCAAGATAGTCTTTAAAGTATTCATGATCATCTGTTTAAAAAGGCTGTTGTTATAAATGGCACTGTTTTTGTGACACTTAATATTCCTTTAAGGGGAAAATGTACCAAAATGAGGTAGTCTTATGCTTGGGGTGGGGGGGTGTTCAAAGTCCTCCTACTGCTATCAAGGTATCCTGTGGATGAGGGTCTTTTTTTTTTTTTTTTTTTTTGGTACTGGACTTAATGAAAATAGTTTGTGCTGTCAGAAGAACACTCTGTATCTCAACATGGTATTAAGGATGTGTTGAAATAGGACAACTGTTACTGCATGGTCGAAGCATTTAGGCAGTAGCACAGAAAAAAAGATCTGATGGTCAAACTACTATTTAAAGGCCTTTGTGTTTTTGAATAGAACTGAAACAGAGCAGAATTATGTCCATCTGTAAAGAAAGCTTTTTATAACTAGTGCCAGCTTCCCTGAAGCTGTCAGCAACTGAATCTTACTGAAAGTAGTAATCCCAATTATGCACCAAACTTCCTGTGATGAAAGATATATTTTAATTTGATCCCCAGTATCAACCAATCCAGATAAGGAGAAACTGTATTACTCTGACCATTGTTTGTTCTTTAGCATAGTATTTACCTAACATGATTGTATAGACTGCTTAGAAATCTTCAAATATTTTCTTTATCATCTTCAGAAAAGGTATTCCAAATGTAATGAACTACATAACCTATACATAGCTTAACAACATGGCTACCTGTTATTTAAAAAAAAAAAAAAAAAAAAAATGGTGTGGAAATCCAAAAGAAGCAACTTGTTGTGTTATGGAAGTTACTAAATTCCTAATGAGATTATTTGGAGAGGATGTAGCAATCAAACATCTTTTGTTTCTATTAAAGACTATCTTTCTTTTTTTTTTTTTTTTTTTAAGATCTATATGCAAAGTGTCCTTTGAGCATGGCTTAGCGCTATAACTGCAGTACAATCTTTCCCTTTGGCATTTTCCTGGGCATAGTGTGGCTAAAAATAGTAATATTTTCTGAATTCGTCCAGAAGTTAAACCTTCATTTCTAAAATAAGAATTGAACTTGAAAGATGTGCTTCTTCAAGGAGTAGTAACTTTACATATATGTATGAGAAACATTTTGTCGCGAAGAAGCGTCTGAAGCTGGTATTGGTCACAACAAGACTATGAAAATATGAATATTACATATACACGGTGTTTGTGCTACGTTTAGTCTTCTGGTTAGAAATCTGTTTTCAGATCATTGTTTAAATTGCTGCTTCGAAAAGTCAATCTGATGATCATTATAATAGTCTTTATAAGATGTGTATATAATATTGATAAAACATTTTTTTTTCTTTTGTTTAGGAGTTGCTTCCTAAAAATGTTAATCACAGTTGGATTGAGCGGGTGTTTGGCAAGTGTGGTAATGTAGTTTATGTCAGCATACCCCGGTATAAAACTAGTGGAGATCCAAAAGGATTTGCTTTTGTGGAATTTGAAACTAAAGAGCAAGCAGATAAAGCTATTGAGGTTAGTAATTGTAGCTCTGGTAACATCTCTCGTGGTTGTCACTGTAATATGGATAGTATTGTCTTTAAGTTCAGTGGAAGTGTAGCTTAGTGCGTTTCAGATACAGAAATTTCTAAAATACTTTTTATAATAAAATATGGCTGGAGTTATGCCTCTTTTCTGTTCTCAGACCTACCTTCAGTTAATTTCACTATTCATAAAAAGATAATTCTATCAAACAAGGTAGAATTTGAATAGAAATATAGTGGGTGTTTTCAGTGTAGTGGGTTTTTTGGGGGCTAATTTGGCTTGATACTGCTGGCATATTTTGATTGCAGAAATAGAAAATTGAATCTAAAAGAAAAACAGATTAATTAATTTAGTTGATAGAAGATTGTTTTAAGTTCTTTACCTTGTAGTACGTTGTTTCGAAACATGCAGTAAACATTCATTTCAGGATCATAGTTGTAATAGAAGCAAAATGCTGAATAAGCAGAAAGACATAACATGAATGATGTGAAATCAAGTTTAAAAAGTAGGTACTTGTTGATTTTCTTTTTCTATATTTTTTATTTTTTTTAATCATAAGTTTTTGAATAATCCACCGGAAGAGGCACCACGGAAACCTGGGATTTTCCCTAAAACTGTAAAGAACAAGCCTGTTCCTACACTGAATACAAGTAATAGCACTGTAGTAGGTAAGTTTTAATAACCTATTGGAGGTCAAGAAGCACTATTCTATGCTTCAGTTTTTGAAGGAAAAAAAAATTGAACTGCTGTGTTTCTGCACCATGATCTCTTGAAAAAGCTTGAAAAATTCCTGTTGCTGTTTTTTTCTGTTGCTATTGGCCAATGCAAGTGTATAAAATTGAATTGTAGAATCAAATTAATTGTGGAAGTGGCATATGATAAATTTCTGCCTTTTTGTTCTCATTATTAAGGAAATACAATTTTTTTTCTTTGGCCATCTACTAGGATTAGTCATTGTTATAACCAGCAGAACTGCTGTCCGATTGTACAGCTAATCATTTTTTTTAAGCACTTAACATTAGTAAAATATAACAGGTTGATTTAAAATATTTGTAACTAAAAGAAAGACACAACCACAGAAGCAAAATTATGTCTAAATGTTAATACTCTTCAGATAAGGTTATGATCATCTGATATGTTTTGGACCAAACCTACCAGTATTTACTCTCTAATATTTCGGCCAGTTCCTTGTGAAAATGGTAATTTTGACATTTCTTTGGCGCCTCCTCTATTTAAGGAGTCTATGGGGGAATGAACTATTCACAGTGTATTTATCTATAAAGCAGCATCATAGGATCACATTGTAACTTCCCTCACTGGCCTTTTTTTTTTTAGGTGCTTTGTTTTCTAGTCTTTGGAAGTGTTACCTTTAAGCATTGTGTTGCTCTTTATCACTAGTTGCTTATCAATATCTTTAATTCTAACCAGTAACAACTAGGACTACTACTAACAAAGAACAACATTCTTTTCCCACTCGAGATTCTCTAGACTGTTAAACAATTTTGAAGCTAGTGAAGGATGTGGGGAAGAAAATGTGCTGTGGATTTCCCCTCTTGTCCTCTTGATTCTTTCCCATCCGCCCAGGTTGCTGAACATTCAAATGTTCTTTTGTTGTTGTTGGTTGCCTTTGAAAGGAGAAACAATGAGGAAATCTAGATTCTTTCTGAGGGGGAGCATTCCAAGAAACCTGTAGACTAACTTCACATGTGACCCGGGCATAGTCTTGCCTGTGGTTTCTGTATTTTTTTTCTTTGCCTCTCTCATCTGCCTAAAATGTTTAGAAAGTTTTGGAATGTTTTCTTTGATGCAATAGAGACAAGTATTTTATTTAACATTCCAAATTATAATGACATGTCAAAAAGCTAATAAATTAGATCATTAATCTAGTCCTTAATCACAGGAGGAGTTTAAATATTGTATCTCTAATGCAGAGGAAAAGAAAAAGAAGAAAAAGAAGAAATCCAAAGTCAAGAAAGAAAGCGGTGTACAGGCAGCTGTAGAAACAAAGCAAGCAAATGTAAATGCTACTGCAGAACAAGCACCAAAGTCAAAGAGACACAGGACTTGTTCTGAGTGTTCTGAAATGGAGGCAACTGCGACCCCCAGGCAGCCCGCTAAGAGAGAAAAAAGAAAATGGGGCAGAACAGAGAGCTCCGAGGCATCTATGGAAAGCAGGCCAAGGAAGAGAAAAAGAAGCAGCTCCGTGGATGGTGAAGCATCAAAGGCCAAAGTCAAGAAGACTGTTCAGAAGGATGAAATTCATGAAGTTCACACTATTAAAGAGGAAACAACAGAAGCTCAGAAAGAGCCCAATGGTAAAACGTCTTCTATATCTTTTCAGTACTGCATCTGTATTTGGAGAACTAAAATCTTCCTGATACTGTTTGGGTCAGTAGATAAAAAAGCCCTGACAATAGTAGAGGATTAACCGTCAGTTTTGAAATATACAGATAAACCTAGTAATGAGTCATTCAAGAAAGAATGACGAGTGAATGAATCTGATCAGAAGTTGAATTGAAAAAACAATGGAACTTCAGTAAAGTGATGAATTAGGATTTAAATATAAGAACTTAGATAAGATGAAAATACGAAAGAAAATGAGTTGGCACTAGATGAGAAATAAGTAGCAAGTTCTGTTAAATTTTCTTTTCATTCAAATTTAGGTCAAAGTATCAATGCTTTATCAATTATTCAACAACAGTTGTTTTAATTTCTTTTATAAGTTGTTTTAATTTCATTTGTAAACCCTGTTAAGGAAAGTTAGAACTCAATTTTTCTTGACTTTCATTTAGAAGTTTCAGCAGAAGATGATAAAGAGACTGAGAAGAAAGACACATCCCTTTCAAAATCTAAAAGGAAGCATAAGAAAAAACACAAGGAAAGACACAAAATGGGTGAAGAAGTCATTCCGCTCAGAGTACTCTCCAAGTATGTTGTAACAGTAGCAACTAATAGTACAGTAGTGATCATTTTTAAGTGCTTTCTTGGAGGAATTAGGGTTGTACACCATATGTATGAATGAGTATTGTCAGTTAATCTCTATTTGCTTTTTTAAATGTTTACTTTGAGGAATTATTTTGCCTGAATAACACTTGTGTAGTAACACTTGTACACCATGTGTATTATGAATGAGTTTCACATAATTTCTATGAAAGCAAAAGACCCAATTGTAGTTGCTCACTAGGTCATATCCGTGTTCTTATGTTTATTCTGTGTAGCATGGCAATTTTTTTATTGGGAAACAGCCCTCTTGCCTTTTTGCAACTGTTGCAGCCTGACTGAGACAAAGGTTAACAAAATAACGAGCCCACATGCTATGTGTAACAAGTTAATGCACTTAACTCTCAGGACTTGCATAGACAGAGTCCTTGCCCTGTTTGTTCACTTTTCACGTGTGCCAGCCAGTGAAGACAGATTTCTGTGTATTGATGCAAAGTTCTTAGGAAGGGAAGAACTTGCCCAATGTATGTATTGATGGCATTTGTATTTTATACAGGCAATTCCTTGCGTTCCAATAGCATAGATATACCATCACCAAGTTTTGCATACTTGCTTGCATGCTTTATTGAATTTGCATGAACAATGTTCCCAAGCATTGGAATTTGAGCAATTCAGAAGACTTTTTACAATTTCTCTATAAGTTGATATGTCTGTTATGTCTTACAGTCCATCACCATTGCTAAAGTGCAATTCCAATTTTATACAACAGAGTTGCATATTAGCAACAGTATTAGCCTGTAGTTAAAAGAGAAAGCTCATAAATTGCAGTCGTTACACAAATTACCCTGCAGTTTTACATACAGGCTGCTTGTGGGGGAAGGTGGATTTCAAGTTGTGAAGGTCCAGAAATTCTCAGCGAATTTAGGATTCACCACAACTAAAACATGGAAGCACTTACTTTGTCAAGCATCCAGCAAGTACCTCCATGTTGAAGTAGAGGGGGTCCTTTGCTGTAATGGTAATGAGAGCAATCTTGTGCTTTACATTTAACAAGGATACCATGCTCAGTATTAAGTTGAAATAATGCAGAAAAGCAGTCTTACATTTTGGGACAAATATCTACCCGTACATAGAAATTTAGGCAACATCATGAGTTTCTTGGGCATTTTTTCTCTTTAGTTCCTATGTCTGGTTAAGCTTTCTAGGAAGAGAACTCTCAATGTTTTTCAGTGTTGAGAATATAGGATTCACCATCACTAAAACATGGAAGCACTTACTTTTCAGGAACAAAACAAGTACATCCACATTTAAGTTGTGGGAAATCCTGGTAATCAGTGACAGTGCTCTGAAAAACTACCCATCTTCCCCTCCACCCCCCCAAAAAAAAAATCTGATAAATGCAAACACTTCAGGCTGGAGATGTAGTTCATTTTTAATACCATGAAGAGACTAGGATCCACCACCACTGAAACATGGAAGCACTTACTTTTTTTAGGCAGCAGGTACCTCCATGTTAAAGCAAAGGTGGTCCTTCAAAATTGTTCTATTCAAAATTTTTCCCATTTTCATGGTAACAGTTGAAAATAATTTGAAGTGCAGAGAAGTGGTTTTTGGACATTCAGAACTTTGTGCATTTAATTCCTCTAAGCCGTAGCATTCCTCCTTCGCTTGCTGAAAAATTCCTCAGGGTGGCCTCTCAAGGTTTTAGGCAAGCAAATCTTGCAGTAGTGTAGTGGAAACGTCGTTCTTGGTCTTCGATGATATTTTCAGAATTGAGAACAGGATTCACCTCTACTAAAACATGGAAGCACTTACTTTTTTTGAGTCACAGAAAGCACCTCCATGTTAAAGTAAAAGGGGTCCACAGGTAGCAGCGACTCTCGTCCTCTTTGGCTAGGATACTGCAACTGCTGCATCAAATATGGGGAAGGGGAGGAAAAGGGAAAAAAAAACAAGTTTCAGTTAATTTGAGCATACAGCATGGGAGGAAAAAAGTTCAAAAAAGCATTGTAAATACTTGCCTGGGTCGTTCTCCTTGGTCTTCTCTTCCTTCTCTTCCTTTCAGTCAAGTTAACAAGGAGCAAGTCCTTGAGCTTGTATTTATACCATACCTTCCTAGGGAATGGTGTTGCCTTTTTATCTCAAAGAATCATTAGGTGGGTCTTTTGTTATTTTAATGTCTTTGCTCTGCTGAGAATGTATGATCCTGGGTGAGTCTGGATGCTTTTTTGAAGTATACAGTTGTCAATGTTAACAGCTAAAACCATTACCACAAGATATCCTCCTCTTTAAAAATCCTCTATCAGCTTGTTTGATAGCACAGATTAGGGTAACAATGAGTCGTTCTCACAGTGGCACTGTAGGCATTGTGTTTCTGGGGAGCAAAGCTCTAGCTGTTTGCAGAAACATCTCCATGTTAAATGTATGTAAATATATAAATTGCTTCCATGTGGTGTTATTTTTTAACTTAAGTGCATTTGAATAGTAAGGAATGTTCTTATCTCAGTAGGTTTTTGGTGAGTTTAACCAGTTGTTGATTTTTTGATCAATGATTTTTTCCAGAAAAGAAATACCTGATTCCTAATATAGTAACACATAGGAGAGGATCCAGTGAACTAAATCAGTGAACTTGAGTTCACCGTGTATCAGTTGTGACTGTAGTGGTGCATATGCTCTGTGTGTTTCAGGGGAAAGCGATGAATCCTTGTATTCCACCAAACTGTTATGAGTGTTATTGAACATGTGTAACAAAGTTGAGAGTCTTTTTGACTGACAGATGGATTTTGCTAGAACTTGCACGGAGTATTAAAAGATAAAGCAAATAATGCAATAGGGAGCCCGAAGTCTTCAGACTTAGGGCTCAAGATAAGCAAAGAGATTACTCATAGTAAGAAATGCCTTTGCAAGTTCCACTTAGGATAAAACATATTGTAAATAACTTAAGTTTCTGAGTTTGTGAACCTTTTTGATTGTTTATTCACTGCTCACATTCTGTTCCTTTGTTGTCGTCCATAGGACTGAGTGGATGGATTTGAAGCAAGAATATTTGGCCCTTCAAAAAGCCAGCATGGCCTCCTTAAAGAAAACAATGTCTCAAATCAAACCTGAGTTGACGGGAGAAATGGAAACAGACGCTAAGTCTCAGTCGAAAAACGGCAAATGTAATGCTGATTATCATCTTTCCTGTTTTGTTTTCTTGGTGATTCTAACATTGTTACAGTGTTTAAAACCTTGGTTGTTTAGAATAATTGAAATGCAATTTTAGGTTATGTAATGCTGGTGACTTTTTTTCTGAATGCCAAGTAGTATAACATGCAAGCACCTCTTTCAGGTCTAGGACTAAAGAAGTTGGAGTAAAGAACAATCCAGTGGTCTAAGAATGTTCCAGTAGCATTTCTAGGCCTAAAGATCACTTTAGGTAATTTAGATCATAAACATCCTGGGAAATAAAATGACATAACCTGGTCCTGATTCACTTTGGCTTAACCATTCCTCCACAGCACTTTGCAAAGCTATTGCTTAAAGTAAGGAGTCTATAAAACTGCTTGTAATCAGGTCTTTGGAGATTTCTAGTAAGAAAATTTGGTAATAGAACTGCTTTTTTTTTTTTTTTTTAATGCTCTATACTTCTGTCTGTTACTTCAGTAGTTTAATGCTTGTTTGCTCATTTTATAACGCTCTATAATTCAAGGTGGAGCTATCGCTGTAGTGATAAAAAAAAATGATAATAAATAAAAAATGTGTTTTATCAGGACA